TTTGTTTTCCTGTGTTCAAAAATGACAAAGGAGAAAAGGTGACAATATGAAGACACTGCCAGACTGTGGTGACATACACAAAAGGGAATATGAGTAATATGAGAGCCACTTAGGCAAATCATCACCCTGAAAAGGTGATGATGATGATGATCACATTTTCAAAGCATTCGACTCCCTGGCACATGTGTAACCAGGTTAATTAAATTGAATTTGATATTAGCCCTCTATTTTCTTTTCCTTTTAAGAGGGGAGTGACCTCAGTGAACCTCCATAACTTGTGATTAATTGGTTTTCATTTTATTTTGTATTTATTTATTTCCCTAATTTATTTTTCTTAACATTCCATAATCTCACCTGAACTCCGCTAAAATCTTCAACCAATCAGAACTCCTCCCACTTATCATAAACATTGTATGTTGCAGAGACAGAATTGTTTGGTTGCCCAAGACGGGACAACGAGTTTATGATTTACACAGCGGTCAGGTTTTTTGTGTATGAACCTTACACCATGGAGATGGCGAGCTAAAACCTACGAGATCTACCCTGCCTACAAGTTGGTAGGATCTAAAAAGACATTCGAACACAGATTGAAAGACATTGACTTTTTTTTTGTTTTTTGATGGACCCAAGAAGCGTTTTCTGATTAAGAGGATATTTATGTTGGTTGTTTGAACTTATTGTTTTGTTATATTGGAAGTATTTTTATGTGAAATACAAAAATTATTATTTAAATTTACCTGTGTTTGGATTTTGTTGGTATTCACAATTGAGCTCCTAGAGACCTACCTTATTTCTTCCTAATTTAAATTTGACTTAAATGCACAATTAGCCCACATGCTACACATGGCTTCATTTCATTTTTGTGAGAGCCATGAATGGCTCTCACAAAAATGAAATGAAAAAGAACCCAAAGGAAACGTGAATATGCCGTTAAATTCTGTGGAAAAACTAAATACACATAATGTTAAAAAGAACGTGATAATGAACACGAGTCAATGTGGGAACCTTTTAGACTTCACGACTCTAACCATTACATTCAAAGTGAACTGGCTGAGACATTTTTTAAATAACCCAAAATCTCTATGGAATATGATTCCTAATTATGTTTTCTCTAAAATTGGTGGCCAGAAGTTTTATTACTGTGCAATTATAATTATCAGTAAAATCCCAATCAAACTATCCAACTTCCATCAACAGATGCTCTTTGCTTGGTCTCTGATATTTAAACATATAACTTCACTCCACACAGATATTGCATCTGGAAAAATAAGGACAGTCTCTACAAAAATAAATCAGTTTTTTAAAAGTGGTCACATTTGTATGTCAGTTATACAACTCAGATGGTAGACTCTACGGTTACACAGACTTATTGAAAAATATCAGATCCCTGTACCAGTTAAGGAATATGCCATTGTCTCCAATGCAATCCCCTCAGGAGTGATTATGTTGCTGAGAGGCATTACCTTCCCCTGGCAGCTTTCTCAGACTCTAATGTTTAAAGATACTGATGCAGGAGTCTATGCTTCTCAGCAAAATCTCCAAAATTACTAAATTAATCGAGGGCTATTTCAGAGAACATAGTAACCATGCCTTCTGTATTCCATTTTTGAATATAGAGAATGTGCCCTGGGGTAAAGTCTGGGCGCTTCGTTTCGGTGCTTTTTTCTAACCCTATGCTGCATCTTTTAGTTATGGAAAGCTGTTCTGGCCGTTGCTGAGCCTTTGTACCTGGTGGCCACTGTAGATCTTGCTGCATAATCAAACTAATAGTCTACGTAAAAGTTAGAGGTGGGCGATATGTCCTCTAATTCATATCACTGTAACAATTTTTAGCTTTGTCTGGTAACGGTATTATATCACGGTGTTGCAGTATTAAAAGGGATTGAGCATATGAATACATATTCACACACTAAGATAATATTCTTCCCTCAAAGACATACAAATTGAGAAGCTCAACAAAAAAGTGAGCCCTGCTAATGTTTGTCAAACAAACATTTATATCTTGCACAACTGTGGGATTAACAGTTGGTCAGGGAAAGCTGTTTCCTGTTTCGAAACAATTTACACCGCACAAAGCAAGGTCTAACTGATTTTTTTGTCTTTAGCAGTTTGGTGTGTGGAAAAACACAAACTGGTCTAAAAAAACGCTCTAACCTCAACCTCAGTGATGTGGACCATAAAATGAAAGCCAGTTTATTTGAATAATCCTGCATCCTAATTGAAGCAAATGCATACGGCAAGTCTTCAAAACCTTGTAAGAAGCCTCAGGATATCTGGACTTCAAAATTAAGTTCTTGAAATGAATGAAAAAATGGAAGGGAATGACATGCAGGAAAGGAGCCTCAGGTTGGACATGAACTCAGGTCGCCTGCATGGAGCATCCATTTGGGTACTTGGGTCACGACCTAACCAATAGGCCATTTGCGCCTCAAACTATCCACTTTTTGACCTCTTTCTCAACATGCTTGTTCTCACAGTGCACTTCTCAGATTTAGAAAAAAGTGCATGCATGGGTTTCTTTAACCGCACTGTTGAAACAAGTAGTGTCCAGGTCACCAAATGAAACAGCACTAAACATACAGATACATTAAATTACAGATAATTTTACAAGGACCTTTTAAGACACAAGCCTATGTCATTGAAGTGTCTGCAGAGTGATGTAACCAGACCACTGGGGGTAAACCATGCATAACACTTTCTGAAGGTGTGGCATCAATCGGTTATCATCTTTGATGGTTTTGTGGAGGTTGGTTTATGTGGGGCTGGGAATCTTTTTTTTTTTTCTGGGATTTCAATTCTTGGGTCACAATTCAATTCAGAATTCGGTTCAAAACGATTCTGGATTCATGATTCAAAGTCTATTTTTTGAAAGCTATGCCTTAGCACTTATCAGGAAGTGACAGATTGGCCAAGTTATGAATTCATTTAAAATCTCAGAAGATAAGAATCTACATTTTTACATAAATCGATTTTTTTCCCACCTCTAGTGCACAGTGCTGGAAAATGCTGATAGTTTGCTGCTGGGGAGTAACACTCACTGGCCTGGTGCTTGCTGAGGGTTCCACTGGCACTCGTTTAGGACGATAATTTCTTGCTTTCGGTTTATTCTAACCTATGGTTCTAACAGGTGGTATTGTTTCAAATGGTTTTGCCCGTTTTGGCTGGCACGTCTTCTGCAAAATATAGAGCACGTTCCTATGTCGTTTGTCGGACTGTAAATAGCAAAAATATCTCCCAACAAATAGCCACTCAACAACAAAGTTGAGTGGCCTTTCTTGTCTACGATGTTTATTCCCTGATTTGAGCTGGTAGGCTCAGCGTTTTCTTCAGTGTTACTTTCGCTCATTTTGGCTGTGTTTCCATTCAGCTCCAAATGTCTGTAAGGCCCTTTTTCAAACAACCCTACACACTCGCCCTCCGTGACGGAGTGCACTCTGTTAGAAGTCACACTCTCAGCTGGGTAGAAATATAGCGGCAAGCTTTGAGACAAACTTCCCTCTCTCACACGGAAACAGGAACTGTGTGTTACCATGGTTACTCAGCGGTATCTTGCGGGAACGGCTTTTTTTTTGTAGCTAATGCATTCTGTAAAAATATTTATGTAGCCTAGATTGTTCTTCTACTTTAGTTATATTAGTGTAGACTTATAACAAAACTATTAGATTGAGCCTACATTGTTTATTGTAAAATATAATTTAACTTAATTTATTGTAATTTTTAGATCAGGGTGTCCTAAATTAATGCAAAGACAAGGATAATATTGTTGAACATCAGAGCAGCAAAAAGTGTATTTTTTGTTGTTGAATTGAGATTTCACAAAGACATCAAAAGTAGAAAAATAAGAAATAGGTATGTTGTCTGCAACATGATTTAATATTCTTTTGTTTTTGCAACAGTCCCTGTAAATATTAAACACTTTAAATAAACATGTATTTGATCCTCAATACAATACACATTTGAAGTTGTTAACGTTTGTATGATGATATTAAATGTCTATCTTAGTTGGAGCGGTGTTTGTAGCATAGACTGTAAGGTTTGTAGGCACTTGCACGGAACTCACAGGTTGCTTCATCCATGACGACCGGACACAATAGGCGTTGCACGTGATCCGAAAGTCGGCATCGGTGCACACTCGCTAGTGGAGGGTTTTATAACCCACTCCCCGCTAGTTGGTTTGGGACGGACTTAATATGGCGGACCCTCCGCGGGGACGCGCAAACGGAGGGGTAGTGGGTAGTGGCCGGTTTGAAAAAGGGCCCAAGCCTGCCTTCCCTTATCAGTGTGACATGATTGGCTGTAATAATTATATAATTAGGTGTACTAATAGATCGGCATGTGACAGGAATCAGCAGTTTTATTCCCTGTTAAGCCCTGACTGGTGGTTAGGCAGTCCTCACAAATATAGCTGATTCTGAACCAATCTCAGACTCACACGCACAAGCTCATTATGCCCATGTGCTTAGGGTCACAAACATTAACGCAACAGCCACACATACACACACGAGCTAAATGTCTGCAGAGTGGAGGTAAGGCGCCATCAGCAGAGGTGAACAAGCATTGACACACTGGAGGATAAACAAACACTGTTTCCCTGCTGCTCTTGACCAATAGTACCTCTCTACCCAAGGGCGGTTCCGTAGGCTGGAGCGGCTCGGTCTCAAATGATCAATTAAAGAAACATGAATTTGTTGAAAATAAGGAATTGTTCCCTCTGTGTCACATGCCAAATAGGCACGTAGATGTCACTCATTGCAACAGGATATCACTGTTTCCCGTTTCTCACACTGTCTGTGTATTATGCAATGGCATACAGCCACATCGTAATGTGCTAAATGGTCTGTGAATACAAATGAAAATACAATGAAACAGCGAGGTCTGCAAATTTCAGCATTTGGGTGTTGGTTGTTTTTTTTTTAAGGGGGGGGGGGGGTCACAGTCATTTGACCCCACCTTGTTTGCCTTAAATACAGTGCTTATGGAACTAATCTCACACAAAATATATGTCAGGACGGTGTGTCAGCACTATGGAGGTTGACTTGTGAATATCCCTTGGTTAACAGTTCTTTTATCTTCTGTGAGAAATTATTGGATACAATCTGCTTCTGTAAGAAATCTCAGAAAGAAATTCAACCATGAGGATTACATGTTCAGCCTTCCTGCTCTTAATCCAAACATTACAGTGTTTGGGTTTAGATGGTAGAGTATTCCAACATTTCATCCTTTCTTTTTACTATTTGTGTGCATGTGTGCTCTCATCTATGAGAACTAGTTTGTCTTATAAAGAGGTGGCATTATTCTCCAAATCTAAAGATCCATTTGGACTTTGAATTTCAAGGGTCCAATTTAATTACATTTTAAATGTAACCTTTTTTAGAGCACTGCAAGCTTTTCTAGAAAATACATTTGATTGCTGACTTTTTTTGGTCATTATTAAGAATATGAAAGTATTTAACATTTTATAATAATCATAATTTTTTTGTCTATTTCTTTGGTACATTTTATGTTACATCATTACAAAAGAATGACCAAGAGGCTATTTTAAAATGATTTTACAAATGTATGATAAAAACAAATAGATATATGGACAAAGAAGAACAATTGCTTGTAAACAAACATACTCATGGTATGCCCAGTCCTGGTTTTTGATTCCGAAAAGAAACATAATTTTTACATTATTATTTATTTAAACTTAAAGTCTAGCTAAACCTTTGTAAATAACACATATATTTTCTTTGTGTGATACATGTATTAAATAAATTACTAGTTTGCTACGATTACTTCATGAGCTTATTATAGTTTCACTTCATCTACATTTTACAATAACTGAATGGTTGTGGATTTGTTTGCTTATTGATTATTTTAGACCTGTGATGGTTACTGTTAAACAGCTGTTTTTTTAATCTTCCTGAACAGATTCCCCATTTCAACTTAGCAACAAGGCCACTGGGTTTTGTTTGGTTAAAACAAATAACTTCTGCAATGAAATTCGGTGGACAACTGGTGACCGACTTCTGGTTCACCAAAGGAAGAAGTGCCTGGGCGTCCAAGGGAAAAGTGTTGGAAGTGAAATAAGCCTTTACGATTGTGATGAAAACAGTGAACTCCAAAAGTGGGAATGCAAGAATGGAACCGTGCTGGCTCTTAGAGATCAAGAGCTTTACATTGAGCTTACTGCAGATAACACAGCCGTTCTCTCCAGAACTGTTGGGTCCAAAAGCTACCTCACCATTTCAGGGGGGTCCAGTGGGGCCTGCACAAGAACATACAGAGGTATATATATATATATATATATATATATATATATATATATATAGAGAGAGAGAAAGGTAAATCATTGTATTGAATCATTGAAGTATATATAATCTGAAACTAATCTTTGTTTTATTCTTATCTCCTGTAAGAACTTTATTCCATTGGTGGGAATGCAGCTGGGATGCCTTGCATGTTTCCCTTCCAGTACAAAGACCAGTGGTACTCCGACTGCACTATGACTGACTCACCAGAAAATCAGCTCTGGTGTGCAGTGGAAACAAAATATCAAAGTGAACGCTGGGGCTACTGTCCGGTTACATGTGAGTGGTCTGAAAAAACATTAATAAATTCTGTCATTGCTAAAATGTAAAACTGAAGTGCCCACTGAACACAATCAGCCCAGAAAAAGCTCAGTCAATTCAAAATATTTAAAACTGAGAGGAGTTGAGATCTCAAAAATTAACAAATCTAAGTGAGTTTGCAACACTGTCAGGAGCTCTAATACAGACAGACAGGCAGGACTTTATTCTCATGCTTGTATCGAATTGAAGCCAAGGCGAGTGTTTCTAAAACACAACCTGTTAAAGTTAACTCTTTATTAGAATCAACAATAGAAAAAGTAGCTGGCTTTTGTTAAGTGACAAGTCTGCTGTTGTGCAAATAGCTGGCACTTGTGCAAACGCTGCCTTAAATGTCATAAAGCATTGTCCCATCAGTGTTAACAAAGAGGTTAGAACAACAAACCCACGGGGATTTGGACTTCACTCTATAGCCGTTTTCACATATGCACTCTGGATAATATCTAGATATTTACAGGAGGACTTCTCCAGAGATTCTCCTGAACTAGCCGTTCACATATGCTCCTCACAGCAGGGGACTTTCCCTGTCAGAGGGGAGGGGGATTGGGGGATTTCCTGAGGTAAGACGTGACGTAAATAAACAACGCCGAAGTAGCAACAGAGTCCGCTACACGACGCTATAATGAGAATATTTGCCTTTATATCAATGCTATGTGTAATCCAATGGAATGACAACATCCACAAAAGAGAGGAGAACAACATACTGACGCACAGAAAACATAATGCAGCCGTTTAATTACGTGCACGGAGATCGAAGTGGTCGCATGCAGACACTTTAGCCGGTCACTGTATATAAACGTCACTCTCTTTTTATTGGCTGAAATTGAAAATCTCCGGAGTATATGCTGACGCGTTCAGACATCAGCTCCTCCGGATTATCTGCGGAAAAAATACTAGGGGTCTGGCAGGATAAACTCTGGGTAATATCAGAGTAAAAAATGTGGCTGTTGCGTTCACACATACAGCTCCTCCTGGAAATCTCCGGAGTTTTTCAGAAGATTTCCGTACGTGTGAAAAGGGTTTATTTTAGAAATCATGATATAAATTTATATACAGGCTGTATTTGATACCTGTCGCTATATCAATCTTTAAAATAGTGCATATTATACCTTTAATCTAAACATAACATTCCATATTTGTCTATCCAATCACAGCCAAAGGATACTGGAATATACACCCAACAACAGGAGCATACTACCAGCTCAACACTCAGTCAGCTCTAACTTGGCCCCAGGCTGAGACCAGCTGCCAACAGCAGGGTGCCTCCCTGCTCAGTATCACTGATCCTCATGAGCAGGCCTATGTCACAGGTATGGTGATCGTATTTCACTATTAGAGAAAGTGGGTATCCAAGCAAATACAACTATTACAAATTAAATTCAAAAACATGTTTTTGTAACATTGTGTCATGAGTGGATTTCATAATAACATATTTTAATAATATTTAAAGTTTAAATTATTGCATTTTCTTTTAATTGTTATATTTTTAAAAGCACTACTAGGTTCTGGGGGTAATAAGCTGTGGACTGGACTTATCCTGGATCCCGGACACGGCTGGAAGTGGTCTAATGGAAGGCCTTACCGCTATATGAAATGGGACTCAGGTAGGTTTATTTTCCAGAACTAATACCTGAAGCTCGAGCAGCGGGGTTATTCAACAGACTTTTCAAAACAGAATGTCCATTTTAATGATGATCTTCCTTTAGGACATCCGCTTCCTGATCCTGGACACAACTGTGCAATGGTTGCTCCTGCTGTACGGTACTCCTGGCAAAGTTTCCCTTGCAGCAGGAAACTAGGGTACATCTGCTACAGCAAAGCGAGTGAGGTACTGCCTACGAAAGGTAAAGATGAAGCGCTATCAAAGTCTACATCCTCTGGAAACTGTTTAGCTCCATTGAAAATGTGTCAGTTAGTCTTAATATTTCTGTTCCATAAATGAACAGCTGTAGAAACTGGATTTTGTTCAAGACCTTGGATTCCCTACAATGGCCACTGCTTCTACCTCAATCGTACTGAGAAAACGTGGCCTGAAGCTCAGAGGGATTGTCGTTTCAGAGGAGGAGACCTTGTCAGCATCCACAGTGTGGAAGACCAAAGCTTTGTCATCTCTCAACTTGGATTTGGTCTGTGAATATATGTCTACTTTTGCATTAAATCGCGAGTCTGATATAGAATAAATAAAAAAACCCACTTAATGTAGTCAAGCAATTCTGCCTCACTCAGGTGTACATTTTATTGTGATTAATCAACACAAAGTCTGTATTTAATAATATGAATTGTTTAATCAATTGACAGCACTAAAGATTAGTAACAAAGTTTATCAAACATCTTTAAAGGAAAGATCCTTTATTTCTGTGTGCAGCTTCCACTGATGAGCTTTGGATTGGACTGAATGACAGGAAGACAGAGAAGCTGTTTGATTGGGTTGATCACTCTACTGTCAGTTTTACCAGCTGGGAGTTTGGGGAACCTGCTGTCTCCACTGATATAAACGACTGTGTTCTCATCAGGGGGGAGGTAAGCAGCCTCATATGGATATTTACCATTTCCCTTGGTAACAGATAAGTCCTATTTTTGGCACTCCACTTTATTGAATGATGTCTCTACTAATACATTGAGTAGAAAAATTAAAATTTTATTTGATTTTTGTTGCAGACTGGGAACTGGGCTGACCGTGTGTGTGAGGAGAGACATGGCTTCATTTGCATGAAGTTGAGTTCCACAAGGGCCACTGAAGATGAAGTTGTGATGGATGAAGGCTGCAGAACTGTGCGTTAAGTTTAACACAAGGTTTATAGATTGTTCAAGTCGTAATCCTAAAAGTTTAAAAAAGGTGTAGAGTATGAACTTCCAGTAACCTTACATACTGGTTTGTCTGTTTGAGCTCAGAGTTCAAGTAGTCTCCAGGAGTAAGAAAGCGCTCAGGTAAACTAAAGTTACTCAACCTGACCAGCTCAACAGAAACACAAAGCTGGGTCAGTAGAGTGCAAGGCAGAGCTGTAGCAGTCTCAATTACACAGAAACCTAAATGACAACTAAATATTGCACTTGCAAGAACGGGTGGATGGTGAAAGATTTCCAAATGAATTTAAGTCAACTATTTTTAGAAGAAATATTTTTTATTATAAAAATGCAGAATTAAATTAAATTATTTTACTTTAAAAAAAAAAAAGCTTTACATGTATTTAGGCCAATATTTGACTTAAAGAATATTTATGGTATTGTAGTGGGTGTATTTTTGTTCATGGTTTGGTATGGAAAGTTAATGAAAAACACATTAACCAAATACAAACATGGTTGCTTTTGAGTGAGTTACTGTCAGGAAAATAATTAGAAATCAAAAGTCCTTGTGCATTTTTTTGTTTTTCCATCAATTCAGGGATGGAGAAGACATGGATGGTATTGTTACTTTATAGGAACACAGTCAAAAACTTTTGATGAGGCTGTGGCTGACTGCAAGAGTTACAATTCTTATTTAGCTGATGTTTCAAATGGGTAAGAACATTGATTTTTTTAGGTTGCCTGTATTGGGATTTATTTAATGTAATAAAGATTTTCAAGCTTTTGCCGTGTTGGGTGACATGAAAACACTGTTAATATGACTTGTGTAAATATTTCCAGGGTGGACAATGCATTCCTTGTCAGTTTGTTAGGGTGGAGACCAGAGAAGCACTTTTGGCTCGGGCTCTCAAACCAGAAAAATATCGATGAATTTGTGTGGACCAACACAGACGCCGTGAGATTTACATACTGGAATGCTCATATGCCTGGTATGAAGGAATTTCACACTCCAACTCTGTGATGTGACACAAATGTACTTCACAATTGACATTTTACAAATGTTCTCTTTTAAAAAAAATGATAGGTAGTGGACAAGGCTGTGTTGCCATGACAAGTGGAATTTTTGCTGGTCTCTGGGATCTGCTGCCCTGCACCAAAAGTGAGAAATACATCTGCAAACACCTGGCAGAGGGAGCCGTTATAACCCCTGCACCACCCATTCTTACCACTCCTTCCAAATGTCCCCCTGGGTGGACTCTATTGCGAACAAGAAACTACTGTTATAAGGTACAGCCACATTTGAAAAAACAGATATTTATACAAAAAGGAACATGGGAAGTACAATGACAATTTCTGACTCTGTTTGTTTCCACACTCTTGGCCTGTATTGTTATTTTATTCATCCTCTGACAGCTGGTTGTTCTGGTAAACTTCTAGTGCTAAAATAACACCTGTTAGTATGGACTAATGAATAGAGAGTTAAAAATAGTAAAAAAAAATAAATGGTTAGCATTCACGAAGCACCTTATGTTCTGCCTACTCTAATGCTTTACACAGCACACAGATAATGTGCTTTTGCTATTTCTGGCAAGCAAAATGATGAAACCACTCAAATGGTAATAGTAAGCTTGAAGTGAAAACCATTGCTGAACCTCTTTGTCTTGTTTTTCAGGCATTTCGAGACTCCTCAGCTGGAAGGACTTGGTATGAGGCCAGAGATTACTGCAAAGCCATTGGAGGGGACCTGCTCAGCATCCACAGCGAGCTTGAGCTATTGTCGATAAATAGGTACTGTATGACCTTGCATTTTAAAAATTAAAACAAAATAAGTTTTCTGCAGAAGAAAAGGTTGGCTAGTGACAAACAAGGTTCATATGTGAATTAGGCCTGTGCGGTATCTGTTTTTTCATAATACCATACCGTCTTGCCATTTTACCATGTATACGGTATATGACGGTATTTGAAGGAAAAAAAAAAAAAAAGACCTAGGTTTTGCTTTAGCTAACTTTCCTGTTGTCATAAATTTCATGACCAGCTAGCAAGCGACCTCTCTGCCTGATTCCGCTGGTCACTCTTTAACTTTAACATATGACTCTTTCATTCAAAAGAGCACCCGACAGTGTTTATTTACAGAACAATATACCCACGTTTTGTGTAAATGCATGAGATGTGTTAAATGCAAAGATGTGAAAAAGTCTCCCTCCTCCACTTTGACATTAGCTCGTTACATTTCCAGCAGGGCTATCAGCTCTGCAGTCAAAGTGGCCACGTTAACAGGGATCTACATAGCACCTGACCCCTGCTGGCGCGTGCTGTGCACTACAACCCCTCACCTCAATACATTATGTTTGCATCATTTTAACAGAAAAAGTAGCGTTTGTATTTTGGCTGGTATTAAAAGTCAGGATTTCTAAATACCCTGATATACCGTAATACCGCCCAAGCCTAATGTGAATAATGAGTGTAAATTTGATGATCATGATGTGGATTTCCTTGTTGTTGATATGTTTGATGATGAAGAAATTTGCTGTTGAGACTGACTTGCTTTCAAATCGTATAATTTTTATTTAAGCAAGAAACAGAGTCACTGGTCACGTCTGACCAGGAGGATCAAGAAGCCAAATAATGATCTCTCGCGAACATACAGAGACAATCGCCTATATGCACCTAAACATTTGCTTTTCGTCATGGATCATAAAAAACATCATGTAACACATCCATATTTGGCAATTCTCTGACACAACACCTCAATGTAAACATTCAACTTGAGGGGACTCCTAAATCTCCTTCAGATACAAATTCTCTCCAGATGTAGATGTTATAAACTTCAGATATCATATCAAATATCAAAATCATATCAGACATGGAGCTGTCTGGATTGGACTGAGTGCCCCAGACCCAGGCACTGGATATTTATGGAGTGATGGATCCCCAGTGAGTAAACTTTTTTTTTACTCTGCGCTTTTTTACTCTATCAACTTTAGTTTAGTTCAGCCCAGCCTCAATGAAATAGAAAATGTTTTTTTCATTTTCTGCTTGTTTTTCAGCTTCAGTTCCAAGACTGGGACGACAACGAGCCAGACAATAAAAACAATGTGGAATCTTGTGTTCAATTACTAAATTCTTATCGGCGAGGGACTTGGGGCGATGTGCATTGTGAGAAAGAGCTTGGGTGGCTGTGTCAGATCCATACAGGTATAATGGGGACTGTAACACTTCTTTCTCATTTCTTTGATCACTTCCGCTTGGTTTCCTACAATTTATTCCTTAAATTTTTTTCAGTTAAATATTCTCTCCACTTTGTGTTGCCCATTATCAATCCAGCAATCTATGCAGTGTTGTCAATCTTAAGATCTCCTGTCCTTGTCATTACAGGGTTGACTCCAAATCCTTCTCCAGACCCTGTCCGTCCTGGTAAGTGGGGTATCTTTCAATGCAACCATATAGAGAAAACACAGCTGGTCCATTTATACCAAGGAAGATATTTTCTTATGAATGGTTTAAACTAACTACTGCAGTTACTTCTCTTAGGGTGATCATGGTTTAATATTTTGTATGGCACACTTGAAACTCATTTTTAAATGAAGTACCAGATTTCACTGACAGACGCTTAGAGTCTACTGTAAAACCATGTTATGGCTTCAAACAAAACAAACAGAACTTGCAGGAAAGCCACTGCTGAGCGGATGCAAACAAAAACAAAAAGCTTCCACGCATCTCAAGTCAACTTGTGAATTTATTAACGAAAGACTTTCATCAAAAAATGATGACACTTAAAAAATTAAAGCCTATCATTTAAGCGTATCTGACTTTCTCAGGTGAAAAACTGTACTGCTCCCACTCTCACCAGCCTCCCCCAGGTGTCATTTCTGCATCTCTATTACCAGTACAGTATACTGTAAATCAAATAAACCAAATCAATTTACATACAAGCTACAACTCAAACAAGCACAATTTCACAATAATGTAAACCTTTTATCAATAACCCTTTAGTACTTACAACCGCCTACCTTCTGTGGTACAAATAAATGAAGACCATTACGAACCACATTCAAAATTAGGAGGACATACTGGCTGCTGCATTGTCGTCAGAGAAGTCAGCACATCAATTTAGCATGTTTCCTTAATTTCTGATGAAGGTTCATTTCATGGTGTATTCACATTTTTGACCTATGGGCACATAATGTTGTTTATGTTTTGTCTTAAAACACTTCCTGTTAAATGTTGGACTTTGTGAGATATATTCAACATTAATGTCCTTTTCAGCCACAACCTCTTTAAATCATAAACTGCACTACCTGTGTTTGTTCTTAGAGATGTAACAGATGTTTAACACATCTTGCTACAAGTTTTTGTCTTGTGCTACAAAAACGACTATCAACCTCACCAGTGCTATGGGTAAAAAAAATGTTGACTTACAGCCCTGCCACAGACCTAATTTGTTTAAAACAAACTTAATTTCAATTATTATTTTTTTTTTACACATTAGCTTCTATGTTGTATTAATTACATTTTGAAAAGGTCACACTTATTTTATAAAACAGGCTTTTATCAGCTTGAATTGTACTTTCTTTGATAAAATTATATCAATTTTTAAAAGAGATTTTGGTTAAGGCAGTGTGGTGAGCAAGCTTCACATACATGTGTCTACACACTAAGAAAAGTAGCACCGAAGCCTTGTTTTCAGCCATGAAACACCATGAGGGATCATTCATTGTGGGACGAACACACTGATTGATATTGAAATTCATAGAAACATGCTGATAAAATTGTTTTAATGAAAAAATCGGAACATAAACATGCACTGTAAAATGTTTAATTTTTGTGACGCGTTTGTAGCCTACAATATGACCTCCGATGGGTGGTTTGAATGGAACGGGAATCAGTATTATATTTCAAGGAACTCACTGGCCATGGAAGAAGCTCGTTCATCATGCAAACGGAGGCATAGCGACTTGGTAACTATCAACAGTGAAGCTGAGAGTATCTTTTTATGGAACCGGGTAAGCAGTTATCATATGCTTAAACTGTAAACAACATGACTGACATATGACCATGACATATAAGCACAGAACATATGTTAACTCGTTTGCTGCCTGTGTGTAGATATACAATTATAGGAGTTCTTTCTGGATTGGCCTGACTGTAGATCTTGATAGAACATATGGGTGAGTATGGGTAGTATAATGAATAAAATAAGATTTGGAAAAGTGGATGCTCTCTATTTGAACCATTTATTAAACACAGTTTATGTTGCAAGGCTGGCCTGACACCAGAGGTGTTAAACTAGACTGTTGGTCCCATTGTTCGTTTACTTATTCCAGCTATAGTTGCATGAAAATTAGGGGACCACTTGTCTCTTAATTTTATTTATAAATCCAGTTGTTCAGCACACCAAAAAGATTTAGTTATTTCACTCTCATTTATGTTCTGTTTTGGTTTCATAAACTCATGAGGGGAAAAAAGTTTTCTTTAGACTGCTATCTGAGCACTGTGTTTAGTTTCTTACTTTGAATGTCTTCTGCTGCAGGCTGCTGTGATTAGAGTTGAGTTTGAGACCAGGAAAACAGAACAATGATGCAAAATAGAACAAAGGGGCCCTCAAGAGCTGAGGAGCTGGAAGATGGAAGATGGGTACTGAAAAATAATTGTAGATATAAAAGTAAAGATCCGTGCAGCAGGAATACAAGATCAGGGCTATTCTTTTTTATTTTTTTAAAGATTTATTTTTGGGCTTTTTTAATGGATAGATAGGACAGTGGATCAAGTCGGAAATCAGGGAGAGAGAGTGGGGAACAACTGCAGGAAAGGAGCCACAGGTGGGAAGTGAGCCCAGGCCGCCTGCTTGAGACGACAGCCTCCATACATGGGGCGTGCGCACTAACCACTGCGCCACCAGCACCCCGATCAGGGCTATTCTTGTCAAATAGTTTTGCCATATGTATCATTAGAGAAATGAGAATGTCATTGATATGTGAATAAAGTTAGAGTCATTTTTTTTTCTTAAACTCAATAACCTTTTATATTGAAAAGGTGGATGGATGGTTCTCCAGTGGTGTTTCTAAGGTGGGATGAAGGTCAACCTCGTTTCCAAAACAATGATGAAAATTGTGCTGTCATGACTAGGTCAATGGGTGAGTAATCTAAAAATTAACAATTTTTTACTAGCAGTCCCTACTTAAATTATTTTAATAAGACGATATGGTGTTACTTTAAACTATGGTTCTAAAGTTGAAATTATTATAATTGTTTACGCTGAAATATTGATTCAATATTTTGGATTGGCCCACAGGGTTCTGGCATGATAGTAACTGTGGGTTTATGAATTCCCTCATTTGTAAACGCAATGATACACCCCCAGCCCATGCTACTGTACCCCCAACAGTCCCTCTGAAAGGTGGCTGTCCACTAAACTGGAAAAAAATGGACTCAAAGGTAAGGGTTACTTTTACATTTTATTTGACAGGATAGGAACACAAAAATGTTGCACACAATTTGATTTCTGTTTGCACTTTAATAGGCATTTAGTCTGAAACAGGATATTTGTGTTTAAAAAAATAAGCTACTGCTCTCCTGAGGTATTACATACTGTAAGAAAAGCTGCTTTTTTACACCTACAGTGTTACACCATTATTAACAAGGAGAGGGAAACGTGGGATGGAGCGAGGGCACAATGCATAGCCATGGGAGGAAATCTGGCCTCAATTAACTCAAGACATGTCCAAGGTTTGTTTTTGATTGATTATTAATTCTGAATATTATTTTAGAGAGAGTTGCAAATCATGCAAATTACACATACAATCTAAATGTATCCTTAGTGTTAAAATAAATTCAGCCACAGAAAATTGGCCTTATTATTGAAAGGTGTTGTACATGAAGTTGTTATATTTAAAAAACAGACTCACAGACTCTCAGGAAGTACAGTAATACCATTGCTTTTACAAATTGTTATCCTACAAGCATGAACTAGATATATGGTCTAAATCATGCACATACATAGTTTATTCCAAAAGTTAAGTATACTGTGAGAAACTTTAATTATGGGCTTATTTTGGTGACCCCTGTTACAAAATAATACGATATATACCCATTAGGGGGAATTAACATGTTACAACTGTTTGTAAGACAACAGTAGTAAAAGTATAATAGAAAAGGAAAAACTAATGTATGGTATCGTCAACTTGGCGATATCGCAGGAACAAAAAGTGTCTAGACAGCATCATCCTCTGTGTTCTGCTCCCTACCTCAGTTCAGGGAAAATGGCGCACAACGGTGTTATGGGGAGAAAAAACAGAGAGACAATTTTGACATTGTGGATGCTTCAGTGGCTTTTAAATCAGACGAGTTGAACAATTTCAGTTTCCTCGTGTCTGTCGAGAAAGAAGTGCTTTTTTGCATAATTACTTGGTTTCCAGGGCTGTGCAGCCTTTGGGAAAGAGGTAGTAAAACTTTTGTGTTCAGTAGAGAAATTATTTTAATGCTTAAGTGAGTAAGGGTACATTTTAAAAAGGAGTGTAATTATATTGTGCCTGTTATATATGTTCTGAAATGTTTATGAATATAAGAGAAACGATACCAGTTACGCAGCCATATTTAAATAGTTTGATTGTATGCTTGCAATACAAAATGAATTATTTTTTGTTTTTGCTTTGTAAATTTACAGAACATACCAACTTACTCATCAAATAAATCAGAAATAAATGGGGCATATTAAAAAATACACTTTATGTAACCACAACATGTTTAACATCATTCATAATTCAAGGTTAACATTGGGAAGAGAGACAACTTAATGCCAAGATTTTTGATTTGCCAAAAAAAGAGTATCTGAGAAATGTCAAGACATTTACAAATTACCTGGGCTGTAAACCAACAAAGTGTATAACGATTTCAGTGTTTTTGACCACATTAATGGCGGAGGCACCAACCACAGATCTGTGGATTGGTTTGCATAATAAAAACAGTTATCTGTTTTATTGGACTGATGGTCTATCAAGGCAATACTTCAACTGGAATAACAACGAGAATTTCCAGGTAAGTGGACACTTACTACTATTGTATCTTAACAATAATAATAATAATAAAATAATGCTCTGCTCTACCAGATAACTATAATTTTTTAAATGTGTATTCTCTGTTGTTGCAGCTGAGGGTATTGTGAACATAAATGTACATCTGTATTGTGTAAACCATTTTTCTTATGTGTGTTTCAATCATTCTAATATCCTGATTTTCCATATCAGAGCTTTTCACATTTTCACCATCATAACCATGAGCAGGTAAATCTTTATTGACAATGATATTAAAAAGTGTGATGTCACTATTTGTCTTTACTTGAAGCCCAAATACATCCCATCTTGAAGTGGGGTTGTGTGTCTGGTACGCAGAGGCATTCATTTGTGTTTAATTACAAATGATGAAAATAATTTATTACTTGTTATCTGAAATAATTCTTTAAAAAACTGTGATGATATAAACGTCAATTCTCGAATATTTGTTGTAAAACTGTAAGCAATTATATAACTGAAGACAGAGAAATTCTCTTAACTTTTAAAGTAAAATAGGCCACTGTTTGGGCCTGATTTACTAAGATCCCAAGTAAAAACTACTGAATTGAAAATAAAATTTCCCATTTGGTTGGTGTGCGATTTGCAGGTTATCAACTAAGACAAATTGCATAAATGATAAGCGGTGCAAACATTGTGGAGGCGGTAGTACTTTTAATACGTTTTAGCATGTTTTACTGGTTTAAATCATGGAGAGTTTTGAAGGACAGCATAATGACTGCAAGCGCAAAATAGGTATTAGTGGAAGAGGCAAATAAACGTCATTTCGGATTATAGTAAATAAATCTGAAAGTTTTTGGCTTATAAGAAAACTTTGGCTTCAAACAGGGCCTTTCTTTTCTTCCGTCCATCTTTTTTAGAAGATGGATTGTCAGGATACAAGCTGTGTCCTCTGTGGCACGGGCGCTCAGGCACAACACTAGGGCCATTTTGCGCTCCAGAAAGCTGGCTAGTGCTGTGTCTGGTCAGACAACGACCATAAATATGAAAAAGTCTCCCTCCTCCACTTTGACGTTAGCCGGTTACATTTCCAGCAGGGCTATCAGCTCTGCAGTCATAGTGGCCACGGTAACGGGGTTCTACATAGAAGCTGACACCTGCTGGTGCGTGCTGTGCACTACAACCCCTCACATCAATACATTATATTTGCATCAGTTTCGCATACTGTCGGGATTTCTAAATACCCTGATATACCGCAATACTGTGATACCGCCCAAGCTTAGTACAAGCACTGGTGAGGTCCCCCATTCCAAGTGTCCTACAGCGTAGCAGCAGGTGGCTGTAGAGGGAGGAGATGAGCGCAGGGGAGAAATCCCCAGTTTAAAATGTAATGTTGGCGAAATGTGGGAAATAGGACGAATTAAATGACAATGTTGAAATTCTTTAAGCTACAGTGGCTGTGAATGTTCAGTACTGTTTGGCTATAAATAGGCCACAATATAGCTATATATAAGTTGAATCATGGTGTTTGTCTTCGTTAAAGATTATTAAAACAAACTAAAAACTTAATGCACGCCATTTAGAACATATTAACACATGGGAAACAAAGCTATCTTGACGGCTTATTTTATTGTGCCTATTTCTCCTCCTAACTAAAATTACAACGCCCTGTTGTGCGTAACACTGGGATCCTGGATTAGCACCTTCCTCTCAAAGGTGTTAAATATCTTAACAATAATAATAATAATAAAATAATGCTCTGCTCTACCAGATAACTACAATTTTTTTAATGTGTATTCTCTGTTGTTGCAGCTGAGGGTATTGTGAACATAAATGTACATCTGTATTGTGTAAACCATTTTTCTTATGTGTGTTTCAATCATTCTAATATCCTGATTTTCCATATCAGAGCTTTGCACGTCTTCACCGTCATAACCATGAGCAGGTAAATCTTTATTGACAATGATATTGAAAAGTGTGATGTCACTATTTGTCTTTACTTGAAGCCCAAATACATCCCATCTTGAAGTGGGGTTGTGTGTCTGGTATGCAGAGGCATTCATTTGTGTTTAATTACAAATGATGAAAATAATTTATTACTTGTTATCTGAAATAATTCTTTAAAAAACTGTGATGATATAAACGTCAATTCTCGAATATTTGTTGTAAAACTGTAAGCAATTATATAACTGAAGACAGAGAAATTCTCTTAACTTTTAAAGTAAAATAGCCACTGTTTGGGCCTGATTTACTAAGATCCCAAGTAAAAACTACTGAATTGAAAATAAAATTTCCATTTGGTTGGTGTGCGATTTGCAGGTTATCAACTAAGAAAAATTGCATAAATGATAAGCGGTGCAAACATTGTGGAGGCGGTAGTACTTTTAATACGTTTTAGCATGTTTTACTGGTTTAAATCATGGAGAGTTTTGAAGGACAGAATAATGACTGCAAGCGCAAAATAGGTATTAGTGGAAGAGGCAAATAAACGTCATTTCGGATTATAGTAAATAAATCTGAAAGTTTTTGGCTTATAAGAAAACTTTGGCTTATTGTGCCTATTTCTCCTCCTAACTAAAATTACAACGCCCTGTTGTGCGTAACACTGGGATCCTGGATTAGCACCTTCCTCTCAAAGGTGTTAAATACAGACACCCGTCACCGCAGGCTTGGTAAATCACAATGCCTATACTAGCTTAAATTATTTGCATTTTCTGCTCCATAAGCGTCCCATATTGCATACTCATTCAGGCAAACGTACTAAATGGACAATGCGTGTTGTTTTGCTCATATGAAAGGCGCAATCCTCACTGCATGCTGTTAGTAGATCAGATAGCACATTTGTTGGGGGGTGGTATCAAGTTTGCACACATTTTAAAACACGCAAACCTTTAGTAAATCAGGCCCTCGGAGTACAAATTCAGTTTAATTCTTTGAAACTTTACTATATAAACTATTAATTTACACATTATTTCACTGATTCATATTACTCACATATTCATGGGAAAGGTGCTGTGTGTAACTTGTCACTGCTGCCAAATAATCAGCTGCAATGAGAGCAGTTGACTTTAGGAGATTTTAAATTTAATTGCAGATGCAGATTGAAGATGGATTATGTCCTATCATAAAATTATCCTGGAGCTGATCAGTTTGCCTTTTCTCTGACCATTCTGTGTTTCAGACAAAAGAGTGTGTTGTGATGACCAGTGTTACTACTAAGGAACTAGGAAAATGGACTCGAAAGTCCTGCAATGACACCAATGGATATGTCTGCCTTCGAAGTGTTGGTGAGCCTATCCTCTGCCTCTTTTCTTGAATACATTTCCTGTGCCTTATTTTACAGAAAAGGATGGAAACATTGATGTCCATGTGCAGGGTCTGAAATTAACATTTTGACTCAACGTCCAAGGTGGCAGGTAGATGAAAACATTTACCGGCCAAGAATATTTTTACCAGCCAAAATAATAGATTGTGTTTTTGCTTCACATCCAAATTTGTTTCAGTACATTTAATTGAGTGAATAAGGTATGATGTTCTTTTGGATCAGATGACAGATTTAACACATGGATCGGACTGGATTATTTTATCCGATTAGGAAATAAAGAGAAAAAAAAAAGGATTTGCTCACTTTTATTTAAAACAAATAATTATTGCCAAGGCCACTCCTGGATCCATCCAAAGTTTATCAACATTACAAACACACAGAAAAAATCTGTCTGTGAATTAAGCATTTCCTTGAATCCAAAGAAACAAGCTGTGTTTCTTCGCTGTTTAACAGAGTCTGTGTGGATAAATTGACAGACTACAGCCGGCTGTGGAATAACATTACATCGTTAAGTTATTGATTGCTGACCATTGCAGACACGGCAAGAGTGAATGGAGAGAAAACGAACCGACAGTTTCACCTAACGAGATGAAAAATACGCCATTTTTGTCTTCATTACAACTATTGCTCAAACACTTACCTGCTATGAGGCAGGTAGCCCTTTGAAATTCAGTCGCCAAACCTAAATTCTACCCGCATTTGGCCCTTTGTGATTGTTAATTTTGGACCCTGTCCATATGTCACATGCAGGATTAAATTAATATATACCCCAAAAATCGTATTTATATCTTCAAAATTGAAGAGGCTAAACCAGAGTGGGTCAGGAGCTGGAAAAAAACAATACCTCTATAGCGTCAGTACAAGCAGGAATATGCCACAAGGATGAATGAAAAACGGTTTCTTTGTTATTTCTCACTCTGAACAGACCCTTCTCTGCCAGACTCTCCTCAACCAACAACTCAAAACTATGTCAACATTTTCAATGACTCTGTGAAGGTTATCACAAGAAAAATGACCTGGTATGCAGCTCAGAAGAACTGCAAAGGTGATGGTGCCACACTGGCTAGCCTGCGAAATATCTGGTCAAAGACATACATTGACCTGATAACTCTGAATCTCAACGCTCCTGTGTGGATTGGACTGAACAAAATTGAGGTACAAGGCAGGACACCTCTCAAACTTTACAAAGGCAACATTATTTACCTCTGCTTGAAATGTTTACTATGTCTTAATACTGTTAACATACAATGACTTTGATACTTCTTTCAGGGAACACTTACTGTAAATCTTAATTATTACATTTTGCAATTATAAACTCTATGTTTCATTGAAATGCTAATTACAATTAGTTAAATACTGTTGATGGCTTTTTGTTGATCCAAATGTTTCCTTTGTCTTTGAGCTGTGTTAGTCACATAATCTTAATATGGCAGCATTTATTTACCACACATGTTGTAGTTATATTTCTAAAAGACTTTCAGGAGTAATACAGTCTGGGTAAATTCAATGAGATAGAGGATGGAAGAAAAGCGAGTAATCTGTTCTTCATAACTGTTTCTTTGGAAAAATAATCTGTCCCTTGTTTGTTTTTAAAAGTATTATATTGAATGTAGTTTGATCTATTTTGCTTTTAGACTGGTGGATATTTCAGATATACTGAAGGCTGGCATCTCAATTCAAATTACTGGGATGCAGGGGAACCAAGTAGTGACCAACCTTGTGTGCGTGTGGATGTGGATGGAAGATGGCATACTTCTGAGTGTGAAAGGACAATGGCCAGTGTTTGTATGAAGAGTACAGGTAAGGCTTTTATACTGTACAGTGTAATACACTCAGTTTTAGTCTGGTTAATGTTGAAATACAACAAGTCTCCTCTGTTTGGCCACATCTGTAGATGTGCCTCCAACTGAGTCATCTGAATTTCCTGGAATATGCCCTAATGTTCAAGAGCAACTACAATTCAGAAGACCGCTGTATACCTGGCTGCCATTTAAGGGCAATTGTTACCTGTTTTGGCCAGAACGATGTAGTTGGCCGGATGCATCTGCTAAATGTGCAGCATATGGTAAGGACTTTCGGTTAATTGTCTGAGTACTAATATGAATCACTCAGTTGTATCGATCTCTAACTTAAAACCTGCTGTTTGTGTCTGTTTGTTGGTGAAGGTGGATCTCTTGTCAGCATTGAAGATCCCTCAGAGCAAGTCTTCATTCAAAGTCAAATAAATGTATATGACGACAGTCAGCCGTCTTACTGGATCGGCTTGTACAAAACACACAGAGGTAAATTTTTGGGATTCACAGATGCATCTGTTCAACATCGGTATTGGCCGATATTGGCCCTGTTGACAGACACTGGCACATCAGCAAATAATGTGGCATGAGCCGAGGCCAGTAGCTGATGTTTATTAGTTGTGCCAGATAAATATAATGCTGGCCTTTAGTACACCTGACTACTTATTCAGAGAAGAAGTTTGTTATTAGGTAGATGAAGTCACCTGTTGAACAAACTCTGACTTGTTTTCATTGTCAAACATGAGAGAAAATGATGGCACTGTGGGAGTCTTACACCAAAAGACAAAATCAAACATCTGCTGTATATCGGAATCTGCAATTGGCTAAACTGTTATTTCAAACATCTGTATCAGCCCTGACTTTCCCAATCAGTGCATCTCTATTAAATCTGTATTGTCATCACCAGTGAATCTAGTAATACTTTTTATTAACATAAGAAGTTGCACTGTTAGATCGACACGTGACCAGAATCGGCTGGTTTTCAGCCTGCTCTGCCGTGACAGGTGACCAGAAGTATCACAAATTCTGAGCCGATCAAAGATTCACACACACAAGCTGTTTTCATGTTTCATGCACACAGCCAAAATAACACTAGCGCGCCACACATACACAAGCCAACATGTCAGCAGTGTGGATTTCAGGTGCCAATCAGCAGAGCTGGGTAGAGAGTGCTTTAAATGCTCAACCGGAGATATCCTCCTGCTTTAGGCTGCTCTCGTCTCTTTGCATGTCAGTGGCACCCAGGCCTCAGTGTTGATTGGCTGTCACTCGTATGACATCTAGCCAGTGTTGTGGGCTGGACATTAGGTGAGAGAGAGTTGTGAGTGACAACAGACCCTGAAGGAAAAACACACTTACTTACAGAGTAAACGAGGGCCCTATGATTTCTGTAATGTGATAATAAAGAGTAATATTTTACACATTTTGAAACCTTCAGTAGCAAAACCTTTAAATAAGTTGGGTAGGAGGCTGAACAAAAACACTGGAATAAAATAATCCTCGAAAATGTAAAACAACTTAACCTCTTCTTGTCCTCAGGCCAGTGGCTGTGGTTGGATAAAGCAGCCATGGACTACACTAACTGGGATTTAGGTACACCTTATGAAAAAAGTTATGGAGCGATAAGAGTTTCAGATGGAAAATGGATCACAATGAGGAACGGCTATCAGGGATATATTTGCAAAACCGCTAAAGGTGAGATCATCACACTATATATTAATATTTATCAGATTTATTTTATATAAACTCAAAAAAACAGTCATGTACAATGTTTCTTTTACAGTACCAGGAATGTAAAATGGTGTATTCAGGTCTTGAAGTTTCATTTTTAGAAGAAAATAATTAATAAGAAGGTATTATTCAGAGAGTGAGCATGAGCATAGCTCCGTGCAGAGAAAGTAGAAGAACAAAACCGAGACAGAGGGAGAGAGAGAGCGCGCTAGTGAGTGCAGGCGCGCTCATCACTCTGTGCAGCAAAACTCCTATCTCGACTCCGACGGAGAGACTGGAGAGACGGGAACCAAGAGAGCGAAATCACATCAGCTTCAGAGAAAGAGACAGAAGGTCCGCTGTCCGCACCCCTCTTGTAAATTGAAAGCTGAAGCTTCTCATGGCTTTGTTTTAAAAATGTTAATATACAGCTGCTTGCTGCTGATTCTGTGCTGAACTGATATAAATAATGGTATATCAAGTGGAACTTTTCAAAAACGTGAGACATACTCCTGGTGTTTGTGTCTGTGTGTGTGCGTGGATAAATCGAACAGATTAAAGTTGTTTGTTGCAAATTTAGAGGGGAAACACATTTGATATAAATACAAACCTATATTAAAATATACCCTAAGATAAGAGTAAGAAAAAAAAATGACGATTGTCTGCACCCCCCTCCCCCCCACTCCACCGCCCAGGTATCTCGTGTTTTCCACTGTCTCATGAAACATAATCTGTCAATGATCCTAAAAAGTCACTGAATGTATTATCAGAATATTGATTTATTAACATGGCTTTATAAAGTAATGCCTGTTTGTTGTCTTTCTACAGTCATTTTACAACAGGCACCATCATCAGTTGGTAAGTTATGTCTGTGTATTTATTTGATTTGAGTCATTGTAATACTTTAATTCTTCTGACTCATCATCTATGTGTTTATTTTGTACAGAAAGCCCTGTGGTGACTCCCCAATCCAATGGCAACCTCATCCTGCCATCTGTCCTGGTCATTTGTGCGACTGCTTTAGTGATCCTCATAGTTGTTATCGTATTACTTCTCGTCAAAAAGTCTGGTCGCTTTAGTGTACCAATGTCATCTGCCTTTCACAACCCAATATTCTTTAACAGAACACAGTCACAGCCTAATCTGGTTGACGCAAATTAAGTAGAAGGAAAAGTCGAAGAAGAGATCCCTGAGGCTGGTATAACTTTGTGAATTCATGCAAGCAAAGAAAAGGGCTTTCATGAACAAAAAAGGGGTCTTATTTAGCATACTAATCTATTTTGTAAAACTTTGAAATTAAGTGTCATTGTATCATTTTAAAAAACAACAACTTACCTAAATGTATGAATGTGAATGTTTTTTTTTTTTATACAGAGGAGGCTCAAAGGGTTTTTGTGCTTATCTAAACTATGTTACGACTAATGTTTTTACTCACCTTTTGTTAACATTTTGGTTGGCCTCTTCTACTTTGGAACACAATTATCTGCTACTTATCCAGGTTACTGCTTGTGCTATTTTGATGAAGAATTTTTAAAAAATGGAACACAGACTTATCTGTTGAATATATTATACATTTAGGAGGCAACCAATGTTACCAAGTGACCTGATAAACTATCCAAAAGAGAGTCAGATCCTAAACCAGCCTATGGACTGCAAACACAAGAGTTTGTGTAGTCAGAGTTAAAATAGGTTATCTGCTTCCTTCTTGATCAAACCTGATCAACTATAAACTATAAGGAATTATAGATAACTGTTTTAATCACACAATCATTCAAAAGTGAAAACAGCTGGGTTTAATTTAGCAGGCAGATTAAATTATCAATGGCAAAAATGTCCGGTGAGATGGGCCGACACATTTTCTGTAATTTCGGACTCTGTTTAGATGATGAATGAAGACTTGTAGGCTATTGACTCTGATAGAAAGTTGGGATAAAGCAGACTGATAACAAGACAACCATTGTCCAAGATCTTCTCTGTATATTCACTAACCCAGGTGAAAGTAGTGTGTGTGTGTGTGTGTGTGTGTGTGTGCGTGCGTGCGCGCGCGTGTGTGTGCATTTTTCTCTTACTTTTTTGCAAATAATACAAAAATAAACGTATCGGATTCAGTGTGCAAGGTGTCTTTTTTTTCGGATTACGGATCCAAAAAACGCATCCGAAAATAATGGACTCAGTGTGCAAAGGCCTTAACAGTGAGGCAGCCACAAACAGAAGTTATGTCAAGAAACCATCCAGCACAGGAACAGACAAGACAGACAAGACAGACAAGACAGACAAGACAGACAAGACAGACAAGACAGACAAGACAGACAGACAAGACAGACAAGACAGACAAGACAGACAAGACAGACAGACAAGACAGACAGACAGACAGACAGACAGACAAGACAGACAAGACAGACAAGACAGACAGACAAGACAGACAGACAGACAAGACAGACAGACAGACAAGACAGACAAGACAGACAGACAGACAGACAGACAGACAGACAGACAAGACAGACAAGACAGACAGACAAGACAGACAGACAGACAAGACAGACAAGACAGACAGACAGACAGACAGACAAGACAGACAAGACAGACAGACAAGACAGACAGACAGACAGACAGACAGACAAGACAGACAAGACAGACAGACAAGACAGACAGACAGACAAGACAGACAAGACAGAGACAGACAGACAGACAAGACAGACAGACAGACAGACAGACAGACAAGACAGACAGACAGACAGACAGACAAGACAGACAAGACAGACAGACAAGACAGACAAGACAGACAGACAGACAGACAAGACAGACAAGACAGACAAGACAGACAGACAGACAGACAGACAAGACAGACAGACAGACAGACAGACAGACAGACAGACAAGACAGACAAGACAGACAGACAGACAAGACAGACAAGACAGACAGACAGACAGACAGACAAGACAGACAGACAGACAAGACAGACAGACAAGACAGACAGACAGACAGACAGACAGACAGACAAGACAGACAAGACAGACAAGACAGACAGACAGACAGACAGACAGACAGACAGACAAGACAGACAAGACGTTCCCTCGCAACGTTCTGTATCGTTCTCAACAACTGCAAGATATTTACAAGTCATTGCATCCAGGGGGCGCTGCTTCATATCTCAAATTAGACACATTTACACGGAGAGGAAGACATTACTTTGACTAAGAAATGTTTGTTTGGAAAATTGGTAGCCTAAATGTTCATACCAAAAGCACAAACAGGGTTTTTTGATAGTCATAGCTTGTCTCGGTTCCTGATCATTTGCTAAACAGACAGGATAGATTATATAGGCCTAAGTTATAGCCTTTTTTTTTTCTTTTTTTTTTATTGTGTACTATTTAAAACTTTTCTATGTGATTGCTTTTATACCAATTTAAAGTATCTATTGCCCTAGCTGAAGGGGATGCTCTTTATTATAACCCATACATCTTCACTCCAACAGACTTTTGACAAGCATTTAAGAAGGTACGAGCTGTCTGCACATTTATTGTTTTGGTTCACTTACTCTTCTCTCACATCATTGTTTTCAGTTGTAAAATGTTATTATTTACATTCTTTGGTAGCTACATTCATTTTTTTAATCAGTATATATTCTAATTTTAGCACTTACCCAAAAAGGGCAGATTTGCAGCTCATCTAGTTGGTTAATATGCAATTTAGCATTGACTAGCTAAGGCAGATGTTTCTTTCCTAAAATTGTAGAAAGCAACCAAGTGGAAGCAAAAAAAAAAAGGATCGAGATCATTGAGGTTTGCTTCAATTCTATCTTAATCATATAACTATATCCTTTTCCTTTTAACTTGCAGGATTTATCTTCACATTGGTTGCGATTGCAAAACTTCTAACACAATCAACCTACTTTTCTTTTTTGATAAAACTGCTGAGCTTTACATTGATTTTATATTTAAAAGAATTGATGTGAAGTATCAAGGTCAAATGATGTGGTCTGGACATGATAAAATGACGGAGGTGTCAAGGTGCCAGCACCTTCAACAATTGATGTTACTAAACACAATCTTAGTTTCACATTTTAATAGATTATCAACAAAAGAATGCATATTTGTCAAAATTAAGTCCTGAATAATGTACAAAACACATATACGTATAACCAAAACATATCATTTTGAAAGAAACAGAGTCCATTCAGTCTTATCAAGTCAAAGCAATCATACACAGTATGGTTTCTACCAAACAGTGCAACAGGCTCGGTTTCTCTTACATTAACCTAACAAGGCAGTTATGAAGTATGTACAAATGCATAGAGATTGTATTCAAGCAAGATATTTTATCACAATAAGATGCATAGAGTATCCAGCGTATAGCACAGGTCAGTGTCACTGAAAGATTTTTCATGCTTCCAGACAGGGCAAATGCAAGTCAATAAATATGCTTCAACACCCTTTAAAAAAGAAGGAGGCATTGTACAGTGTGGCCTCCATTGAGAGACATGTAGAAAAATAGTTTGACTTTCCATGTTTAAAATTAATCGTTGTCTTTCAAAATACGCACATCAGGGCAGACTCAAATGTGACACTGAAACACACAAGTCTGAGGTTCCACAAAGATATTTAACCATTCATCTGAACAAAACATCCATTTTCTTAAAACAGAAATCATTAAATGCATTTGTTGTACGGAAGCCGAAAAAAAGAGTAGCATTTTTTTTTCATCCTGTAAACTGACGATCTGGCAATTTTTTTAATTAAGATAAATCATTCCTTATTTTTGTGGCAGTTAGTTAATTAAGTTTAGAAATCATCAATTTGCTATTTTGGAAAACACCTTATTCTTGAAGCCTTACATACACTGTATGATTGTGTAAAATTGGTAGTGGAATGTCAGCTCACATTGTGGTGGGGGGGTTGAAATTCGGCCCAAACTAAAAAAATAGATGTACAACTCTAATATCAGGCCTAAATCAGGTTGAAATAATACAGTGTATGTCAGGCTTTAGATAGGCTAAATATTTATATCACACATCAAGTTCCAATTAAGGTTGTCATATCTGACAGTCCTGCAATGAGTCCTATTTTCATGGAGGCCATCTGTTAATTGTGTTTAATGATTTAATGTGTTGATCATCATTTTGGAAGCTCTTATCTGTGATTTTATAAATGTGTTGTGTCTTCACTATTTATGTCAATGAGGGTTTGCTTAGTGAAAGGCTGTTAGAATCAAACAATATAGTACAAACAGCAAAACAAAATCAATAAAATGATTCACACACATCATAACTTCCCAATTAAATAATGAATTGAATGTATAAGGTTTTACTACAGGATGTTTGCATTGGACTGCATTCGTTTAGGCTAGGTGTAAATTAGAGTTACACCTGATAAATTAGAGGTGGAGTTATCCTGTTATTTCAACAAAACAAAACAAAAACACATGCACCCAATAATGGTTTTAGTCAAACTACGGCAACCATGACTGTATTTGGCTTCCATAATCAGCGACGTCAAAATCTCATTACATTGCATTCATTCTGACTTGTGTTTGTGCAAAAATCCACACAATTGGAGCCATATGTATAAGTGGAAAATAAGCTGAAATAAGGGGAAATATTCATGTTAATAAGAAAATTGTTGGGTGGAAAAAGGTAACGTAAACTGGCAAATACATTTTTAGAGAAACATTTTCTACAAATATGACACACTGTGCCCCATTCATTAGTGCATTATAATTGAGCAGCATGAAACCTTGCACCAACACGGGGGGGGGTGACATCCGTCACTGGTGTATGTAGGAATCCCTGTGCCAATGTCGTGCATCTCTGTCTCGTTCTCTACCATGATCCCTCTCTCTGTCTCGTTCTCTGTCCTTGTATTTTTCTCTGTCTCTGTCTCTGTCTCTGTCTCTATCTCTATCTCTATCTCTGTCTCTGTATCTGTCTTTGTCTTTGTCTCTGTCTCTGTCTCTGTCTCTGTCTCTGTCTCTATCTCTGCCCTGATAGTGGTGGTAGTTGTGATGATTGTGTGCAGGATAGTGATCTGTGTGTTGTGTCCGTGTTGAAACATGCTGGTGATGTCTGTGCTGCCGGTTGCGTTCGTTGTGCTCCTGCTCATAGTCCTGCCCGGAGTGTGGCTGGTTGCTCCCCCGGTGGTGATGTTGGTGGTGGTGGTGGTGATGATGATGATGGTTGCTGTTGTGATGCTGGTGGTTATGGCCCCGGTGGTTATAACGAGTCTCCTCCTCATCCTCCTCCACCACATCCTCCACCACCACCACCTCCTCCTCCTCCCGTTCCTCCGGCATGTGCCTGCGGTGAATCCTCTGGCTGTACTCCCTGCTGGACTGTACCTCTGCTCCTCCCGATGTTTGATTGTTCTGGCCGTGGTGCTCCATCCGGCGGTTGTGATGATGGTGATGGTGGTGGTGGGTGTGCTGGGGTCTCTTTGGTTCAGTCCTCAGAAGCCGTTCCTCCTCCTCTTTTTGGCCATCCTCAGCCCTCTGCTCCTGCGCCGGGGCTGAAGGGGGCTCCTCCTCTAGATGGTTCTCCCGGGAACCCTTCCTCTTGGGCGCAGCTGACTTCTTGTTTTTCTGCCCGTCCTGGATCAAGACAATGCAACGTAATGTCACATACAGTACATGCATGTAAAGTAAACGCTTTACATAAGCTTGAACTGACAAAGACATATTGCCTAAGCCCATACTTCTACACTTAAAAAAACTAAAAACTACAAAACACTCTCACACACAGAGCTGCTTTTAAGGAGGTGGCTGGCCCTCAAGAGCCCAAACTGGTAATCACCACCAGGCCATGCTACAGGCATACTGAATAATTTGGAATATCAGGGGACCCTTGGCTACTCGGTGCAGATTTGTGCACATACTCACATGGAAGCAGACTGACTTGCTGCCTCAGGCATCTCTGCATCTGTTCTACAGCTGCTGCAACTAATGTTGGTATTCCTAAATCCTTTATGTATCCAGTTCTAATGTAGACTGACAGACCTTCTTGACCTGAGTTGTGTGTATAAATTGCCAAACATGGTGATAAATGCTAGCCACATACCCAAAAGTTACCCCACATGATCAGCAGAAGTATAAATACTTCTTTAGGGTGTCCATGCAAAGACAGATAATTATCTGTGATTGAGAGAGATCAATATGCGGAGGTTTTAAAAAAAAAAAATACTGGGGAAAGCTAAATACTGGTTACATGATCAGAATCACATTTATTGCCATGAAATTACAACATTTAAATGAATGAACCTTGGTCTGAAACAATTCAATGTAATACATAGAAATAAAATAAAACATTTTAAAATAAAATACTTTTGGCTGTGCAGCTGTGCAAACTAAAGACCAGGGAGAGCAAATGTTAAATACTCACTATCCTATAATTGAAACTTTCAGCTCAGGGTGCAGGATTAGCCCAGAGCAGTGGATTTTAATAAGGTGCTGGATAGTATTTCACAGATAAGAATGAAGAACGGACGCCAGCTTTTAAAGTAAAAAAAAGGAAACTCAGATGATCAGCGCGTGTTAATGGCTGTTTCGTCACTGCCGATCATTGCTGAGTGTTTACAGATTGTGTTTGTGTGACATCAAGGTGTTTCCTTTCTCTTATTTTAAAAACATATCCTCCATCGAGAGGCTGATTGGCATAACCTGCTGCATAAACACAACCACTCACTCATTGACATTTTACTAAGAAGCTGACTGACTAGGAAGTTGATGTGAGAACCCAGCAGGAAATATTCAGGATGTGAGAGAGTTTATTCCTTTAATTAGATCCCCATAAGCTGCCACAAATGAAGATTTCAGGGGTATGCTGTCCTGAAGTGTTCAGAAGTAAACATGTGAAAACAGCTTAAACATCTTTCCATTGTAGCAGATGTAGGGCCTATTCAAGACCAGTATAGTGCTGTTACAGCTCGCACACTATTATTATTGATTCTTGATGTCTTTATGGTAGCTTCATCTGACAGTATGGTCTCAACATGTGGCAGGAGGAAAGAGGCGTATATATTCACCTTTATAAGTAATTAAACCTGTTTGAACACATTGTTTATGCATTAATACTAAAATAATTTCTCTTATATAGCAGTGATGAAATTACAATTTAATTCCAGCGTCCTGGATTGTTGTTAAACAGAACACTTATCTAAACTCATCTGTCTTTAACTATAAGAAGAAAGTACTTGTTTGTTTTAATCCTAATGAAGGCACAGCTAAAATAATCTCTATGTCTGCAGTGAAAGGGGGTAAAACTCAGCTACAGCATTTTTGAAAGTACATCACTCACCAGAGGTAGACCTATCTCATTTCTTCAACTTTCCAGAGGAGTAGGATGAGGAGAAATGAAATGAAAATGTTAGATGGTAACAAAAAACACTCAGGTCTTCTGCTGTGTATAAAATCTTAATTCGATGTGTTATCAGTCGTTGTTGTTTTTTGCCTCAGTCAGCAAAATCTCTGTTCAGATGGAATGGATGGGATGGGATGAGATGACACTATGATATCTTATTAAATAATATTTCATCATGTTTTATTTCTCATGTAGTGTTCCCCATATATTTGTCTATATCAAATGTACCTGCATTCCTGTTGGGTTGGTAGGCAGTGTGTTCTCGACCAGCCCAGCCACCAGTGCGTTGGCAGGCTCCATCTCTGGCGGGTGAGTGGCTCTCCAGTAAGACTCCAGATAATCAGCGATGTGCTCACAGGCATCCGTTAGCTGGTTCTCATCTAAGATGACATCAAACATTTCCTACAGGACAACAGGAGCAGGGGCAAGAATAAGTAAGAGATCACCAGTAAAAATAAAAAAAACAGGCCTGCAGGTTGATGCCAGTGAAAGTGTGTTTAATGTGTGTGAGCAAGCTTTAAAAAAACATCTGGACATCTCCAAAACACCCAAGTGAACACACATTTGTTTGACAAAATAAAATTCAACACCTAATCTGATATTGATAGTATGCATACATTCAGGGCCATGGCAAAAATGTTACATATACTGAGGTCGTGCAATTAAACCACAAACACAGTCTTATGTGTGGAAAAATAAACGTTTTGTCACACTGTATGCATTTTTTTAACTGTTTAATTACATTTTCTGTGGGATTTATTTCTCCACATTTAAACTGTTTTCGCTGGCCTTGTATTAGTATATGTCACATTCACAGGGCTTAAAAGTATGGGATTCAGCCAGAGTCCTTTTAGGGGGTGGCTGTGGCTCAGTTGGTAGAGTCGGTCATCTCCTAACCAGAAGGTCAGGGGTTGAATCCTCGGCTCCTGCAGCTACATGTCCGATGTGTCCTTGGGCTAGACACGTTTGTCGGTGGCGTATGAATGTGCATGTATTAGCACATAGAAACCTTTGCGATCAGTGTGTGGGTAGGTGTGACCTGTGGTGTAGAGTAGTCAGAAGACTAGAAAAGCGCTAATTAAGCTCAAGTCCTTTTACCATTTTAATGAATTGTAGAATATCCCCTCCCCCTGCAGAGGAGTCATGAATTATCTGCATTGTGCATCTAAATCTGTACAACATTATTGCAACTTTGGCCACCTAAAATGTATCTGAAATAATTAAAAGATAGGACACTCTTACATGACACAATAATACATAATTTATTCAAGATAAAACCCAAGTCTTATTAACATGAACAATCAGCATTATCACACAATGGCCACTAGATGGCACTCACCGGCGGGCATTGAGCGAGCTTGTCTGCTGCCACCAGCTGAACATTGAGATGTTTGGTTTGTGACTTCCCTCTAGTTTTGATCAGTCTCGTCAACACCTACGCATACAAGGGAAAAGACAGGAAGATAACAGTATTATGTTTCCTTTGAGTAAAGATGTACTAGATCGAGTGTACTCTGGGACAGCTTACCTTCGGTGAGGAGATCTTGACATAGACCAGGATGGGTGCCAGTGAGGTCTTGGCCACCTGGAGAGGATGGTTTATTGTGTCTGCATCTAAAACCACCAGCTGCAGGCTGCGGGCCAACTCAAAGATTCGCTCCACCTCGCCCTGGATCTGAGCTGAAACAGCAGAAAGTTAAAGAATTAATTGTCACCAGAAATCCAGAGGATACATAAATTGTTTATGTTTCCTTTTCCTATCATTTAATACGATTCCACCTTTAACAGCTTACACAGTTTAGATAATATACTCTATTTATATTTTCACAAGCCATATATTTTAATTTCAGTTCCACAATCTATAACATTCATTAGATACACCAACATTATGCCATTGCATTTTTTAACGACTCCATATTTATTTGCAATTTTAAAGCTAGCATACAGTAAGGATTTGGATTTTTTCTGTTATTAAATCAAGACACTGAAATGAGGGTTCAGTCTGAAATCTTTCGAAGGTTTACAATTTTTTTTCTGCAATTTAATACATAAAAAAATAACAACAAGAATATATGTTTTAATAAAAGTTAAAAATACAGACTTGTGAGCAACTAAGAAGACAAACGAACAACAGCTCACAAAACATTAAAAAAAATATAAATATGACCTTAAATGAATCAATGGCTACTAAGTGAGAAAACATAAATGAATTTAGATGCTGTATTTGAATTGCTAGGTTACTAAACTATGTATGTTATGTTGCTTATCATTGAATGTTTTATTGTTATAGGTTGTTTTTATCGCTGTCAACTATTCAGGACAATATCTCCCACCCCCTTCACAACACACTTTACAATCTGAAGATCAACTTCAGCAACAGACTAAAACACCAATCTATCTATTTAATCTATTTCTAAAACCAGGATGTTTTACAATCACAAGAGGACTAATGTAAACATTGGTCACTAGAGGGAGATATTTTTACCATACCAGTAAATCACATCTCACACATTGGACACTCACTAAAACTAATAAACAGCCGAGGATGTCTGCATGTGTCAGTGCTTGTGTATGTCCACACATTAAACAATGGCTGTTGTTACTGATATGGAATGAAGCAAGGAAGGAAGAAAGATATGAAGTGGAGTATTCAGACAGACATGGACTACCAGTGCTTTCAGTCATACATACCGGCAGCATCTGGGATGAGAGAGCAATGAGAGAGACAAGAGTAGAGAAAACCAAGTAAATCTTATTCCCCTTCTCCTCAATACCTATCCTTTTTAAGAAAGGTGGTATTTAGCCTTCTAGCTTACTGCACAATGTTACTGCAGGCAACGCTGAAAATTGTTTTCAACCTTCTGAAAAAGCCTGATAAGCCCCCTCCCCCCAGTGTTTATGCTAAGCTAGGTGGCTGCTAATGTAGCTTCCTGTTTGCATTTGCATTTTTCAGAAGGTTGGTATCAATCTGCTCGTATAACTCCCACCAAAATCTCCCAAAACGTTAAACCATTTCTATAAGAACTGTATGTGTCTCCTTTCTGATGTATGCTGTGCTTTCTAACATTATACCTCGTAGGACAAGGGATCAGCTATGCGTCTTAAACTGCACAGTAAGGGAGAGTAGAAATCAGAAGTCTGACACATTTATTTCAGACCTGGGTCAGAAAGCTGCTGCAGCTTGTTTTAACCTAAATAGGGTTTTAAGTGGGTGAGGTTTGCCACAAGGGAAAACACAAAGAGTGCCAGAAAGCTTAGACAATTACAGCAAGATATTTTGGAATTTAATTTAAATATATTTTCTGTAATAATACTATGTGAATCGTCCTGATAAACCCTAACCATCTTCCTCTCCAGACTCAAAAAGATCGTTTAATTGAACTCCTAGCTACATCCTTGTACGGTAAAGCTGTGTACCTAAATTGGAGCGGGTGTTAGACCGGTCCATTAAGGCCTTTTTGCCTGGGTTGTTGAGAATGGACCGTTTAGCCAGAGAGATGTCTGCTGTGACCCGGGTAATAGTGATTCTGGAGAAGGGACAGAAAAAACAGAGTCTGTTACACCGTCCTGATTTTCATTGTTTTTTAATTCAACATAAAAGTTGAGACACTGAGAGTTGAGAACTGACCTGCCTTCAAATCGGTGTTTTAAATAGTCAAATAGAGCTTTCTGCATCATATCTGTAACCTGGAATTACACGAAAAACATTATTTTTCAAATCAAATTCTACTCTCTATAAGTCCAGCTCAGAATATCAATATAATTGTTTTAAGAGACTCACCTCTAAGCCCTTCAGCGATGGTCCCATTAGAACCACAGGACGCATTGTAGGCACTACATCATACATCGACACCTGCTCCCCCTGTAAACACAAAGAAACACAAATGTTGTTCAGTGCATGAGCTATTGTTTTTAGTTGATTTAGCACATGTCTGTTATAGCTGGTTTATACTGTAAGCAACATCTCAGTTTATCTAGGAGTAGATCCACTACATATTTTTAATTCTCTGTACTCGGCTACTTGTTTACAAAAGGAAAGCTTACTGTCTCTTCAGACACTGGATCAACCATCTTTCTATATGAAATTTTCCTAAATAATGAGATTTTGTGACATAAAAAAGAACATTGACTGTACAGCAGAAGAGTTGCCCCCATCAATAGATGAGCTGATATGTCATCCTGCCATTGGCAACACTAATAGGGTAAGTGCTTTTTGTGCTTTTGCAACTCGTGGGAATACAAGATAAATAAGTCAAGCTCTCAAGAAAACAACCCGACATTACCCGCATTCATGGAAAAAAAAAAGACTAATTAAAATGTATGGATGCTTTTCTGCTTAGGGCTTCTGTACTCCTGAAACTGATAGGAGTTTGGGCTCTGAATTATTAAGATCTATCAAAAGCTGCACATAGACTGACTGTGTCTATAATGAGTAACAGTGGGAGATATTAAAGGGTTGACAAGACAAAAAACGAATGATTGGTCACTTACTGGTTTCTTTTTGACCTGCTGATTGGCTGTTTGTGCAAAAACAAAAAAGAAGAAGCATCTCAAGTTAACATACGAATCATGAAAATAGACAACCACAAAATGCTTACATGCTATGTAGCACACATAACTGACCTTGTGATGGAGGAGTGTATTTCTTTGAGTTCATATCTTGAGTTACTTGAGATGCTGCTTTGCTGCAATAAGAGAACATGAGCTCAGATCTTTTCCCCACTAAAGACAGATTGAATGTTTCATTGTTTCAGTCATGGTGAAAATAGAGTACCCTGTGTCTGTGATATAAAATAATCTGTGCTTACAGACAGCATATCTACTTATATAAGACACAGCCTTAGAGTGCTTAGAGGTAAATCCCTTGAAGTGAATCAGCAAACAGTTCCCACCACTGCCAAATTTCCAAGATCCTCTAGATTTATTGCGTTCTGCTTAACTAGGTCAAGTAAAAAAAAATCTTTCAGTGTGTTGTGAATGCCATTCTGAATAGACACAACCTAAGATATGAAAAAGAGAAAATACATCCTGCTTTTTAATCTGAAAGTAGTTTCACAGATTTGAGTTTTTGAAAAACTAAAAACAAATGGCTTTAACACTATTAGTATGAAATGTAATATTTAAAATAATACAGAATATTGTACGTAGTAAATATGCTGAAATGTGTAAAATGACTGGAACTTTCTGATCATATTTAAAATACTCAGTTTTTCTTTACCTCTTTAATTGCCTCTGACCGTCCTTTTAACATTCTGCTCTATATTCTGTGTTGGTTTGTTTTATCTCTCAAGACCTGATTACCAGCTGGGCCCGGGTGCCTCCCAAAAGCCCCCCTCTCAGTTATTTAGTGTGATTGATTAAATACATCAAGGGCATAATGTACCACTGACATGTTTGTAACATTTACAACATAAATGCAGAAATATGAAATGTTCTCCTAAACTATTGATCTAAATTCTGGAGGAACATGATTCTGAACTAGAAATTGATAATGTGTAAAGTCAGTGCACACCACATCCTAACTGAAAAGCCCTTAATGGAAATGTTTTTTCTTGGCTTGTTTAGCCATAGTTCTGCCTACAAGCTGCTGTGTGCTAATGAGTTAGTTCTAGTTTGTAAACCTGTCTCACTGAAGCTAGAGAAAAGGAGAATTGTCCTGTGCATACTTGGCTAAGGCCTTGGCAGCTTTCCTCGCCTGGACTTCTCTTCTGATGAGAATGGTTTCCAGGTTGACTGGACTGGGGATGAAGCCCACCACACCATCCTCCTTCACTGGCCGCCCGATCCACCACTCATTGTTAAACTTCTGCTCATTAAGGAGACAAAAACTCTCAGTGTAAATGTTCATATCAAAGGCTTGTAATCTCTATCTTTTGTGTGTTTAGTTATGAGTGTGTGGCGTCTGTTTCCAACCTCTTTGACGTGCAGGAAGTCTCGTGCCTCGAAAGTGACGGCCTGGCCGGGGACAGGAACGTTGTCGTCCTCTGCTGGCGTATATGAAAAGTTGCAACGTACTGCGAATGCCACGGGCTTGTACTGGGAACACAGGAGGGCAGGTATTTAAATTTGTATTACTAAAGTTTCTACAGTCTTCTTTGATCCTTGAGTTTCATCTCTCAAAAGTTCAGATTTTATTTTATTTCAATTAATAATGTACATTATGATTAGTCTGGAGCCCAATATAGAGTTATATTGGACACTCCTAAAACATTCTATACGATAGAGCATCTTTATTTATTTTTTAAATTATTTTGTTTTTGTGTAGTAAGTTTTTTATTTTGTGCTATAAATAAAGAAAACACATTCAGCAAGTTTAACTGTCTGGCTTGTTGTCACACTGTCATACTAACTGGACCCTTGAAGAGAACAGAGCCACAGTAAATTTATTAGTGAACTTTGTGCTTATCTTTATATGTCAAATCAAACTATGTGCTGTAAAAAATACTCTTTGCAGCTTCGTCTTTGCGGCACAGTGGCTCCTCGGTGCCTAGTTGTAATCCTATCAAATTCAAATGTCAGAGGCATGCAGATCAAGCTGCTAATTACTCCACTTTGAAGACAAGGCTGTGAAGCAGAGAGTGTGGGGGTCAGCCGGGGACAGGGCGAATGTATTCACCACCTTAATTACAAAGCAGCAGGGGGGGGCACATTATATCTGTGGGGGGGGGGGATTTAATTCAATATTCTACTTTAAAAGAGAAGAAAGAGGAAGATAAATGTATGTAATGGTCACTATAATAGTTGATACATTTTCATATATGAAAACCATTTTTAACAGTGACCACCTGTGCAGAGTATTTCTGGCAGCAAGTATTATTTACGAGGTTGTAATAGTTCACCTTGACAAGGTTTTAAAGAGCTTACATTTGGCAGAATGGTACAGTTTATTTATCATATTTTACATGACATATTACTGCTGTTGCATATGTTGGTGCATAGAGCACAATGCATAAGCTTCTACTTTAAAATGTAAGCAAATGGGTCGCTGCTTTTATAGGTTAATTTATCAGTAACACAACTACTTCTGTGACTTTCATTAAAACCCCAATTTCTGACAGTTTGTGAGGTAAACTCTAATGAAATCACTTCCCCCTGAAAGGCAGGATGTGACAGAGAAGCTCTGGATGCACTTAAAGCTGAAAGGATGAACACATTTGTTGAAGTCAGACTTCAATGGGCCTGAATAGTTTTTTTTTTCATTCTTGTACTCTAAAAAATTAAAGGAGTTGCAGTCCTTACCAGACAAAACAAGAAATGTTCTTTAAGCAATAACGTTACTTTACTCATTATAATGTTATTTGTATCTCTTTGCACCATCTGAAAAAAATCAATCAGTGTGATGAAGTTGTGTGAGTTTCAACATACAGTATAAACTATACAGGGCTTTACTGCTGGGAACCAGTCAAGTAATGAACAAGTACGTAATGTAATCAAAAAGTTGAGACTTGTTTATGTCTTAGAAAGTATTTGAACTGAGTCAGCAATAATCAATATCCTCCATCATAACTCTTATCCACACATTAAGCGTAACCTAACGGGATGACGGCAGAGACAACCGTGACTCATTTTAACAGCAGAACATTTATCTGCTAATCCACTGCCCTGATGTCTGTGTTTCGTGTCTGTGATGTAGCAATGTCCTTGAGAACAGCCTCTGTGAAAGATGACTTTGACGCCATGCAGTGTTTGGTTCCTGACGTTCCCATGGTGCAACAGGGAAACAATACCTTGGCCTTCTCCAGCTGCACCTGGGCGTTTCTTTCCTCGAAGGCATCCGTGTCCTGACGCTCTCCCTGAAGGAGTGACAGAGAGAAGGGAAGTCAAGTTTCATTCATTCTCTGCATTGATTCAAAGCCTCTGCTTTGAAGTATACTAAACACTTATTCAGCATGTTTTTGTTTATGTTTTTTTGGAGATGTGGCAAACTTATCTTTTCAAAACTGGTCAAAATGGTTGACAAAACTGGCCCTCACATTCTGCTTAAAGTCATCGATAAAGTTTGGCGTTGTCACTAATGTGATTAAAAATATTTTTTATAGATTTATAGATATAGATTTATAGATTTATTTTTATTTTTTATATATTTTTTTTTTTTTTACACCAAAACATCTGGTGAATTAGGTTAAAATATCATTTGTCAAGTAAAAATCAAAGGAATTAATATGACGACACCATGATACTGAGAATCAAGTTTAAACTGACACGTCAGAGACAAAACAAGAATGAATGGTTTCACTTGACATAGACAGTGATGGTATTCACCTATTACAGCGACTAAGACATCTTAACTGGACAATGTTTTTAGTCAGGCTTTTACAAAAAGTATTTGCTGCAGGTCCTACAACTCCCATAAGATACTCATAATGGTATCCTATGTCAGACCCTTAATGACTGGTAAATGTTGCATCTTTCAAACTCCATTTTGCATCTGAATGCTTTACACAGTTTACTCTCACCTGTGACTTTAAACTAAATTAATCACATCAAGTTGATGGAGTGCCCCTTCAAATTTGCAGAAAGAGTTATTCTAATTGTGAAATGTGAGCAGAACTGTCAGGAGCCACTTTCCCAGTTTGAGCAAGTGGCTCCTGACTTTTACTGTAGGGCTTCAGAGCTTTAATACTCCCATATATTAAATGTCTTCAGAATAGCTAACAGATGGTTAAACAATGTTTGTCTACTTGTAAGTTGCTCAGTTGGCCATAGAAAAATGATTGTATTGAGGCATTTGTGTCCAAGCTGCTTCTCGAATGGCAGACCATGGATCACTCTGTTTGAATTAATCAGCTCTTCAAAATATCTAATAGTCAAAGCTGTAATTCAAGACAACTGACTTCACCGTCAAGTGGATCTTAAAACAGTCAAGGCATGCTTTTACATTTACTGTCTCCCTTTTCCTAAAGCCTCCTGCTCTTAATTGTTAGGAAGCATTGCAGCAGATCCCCCCCCCTCCCCCGGGATGCTCAAGTTTATGTGCCATGTGTCCCACAGATTAGACTGTCCCCTCAAAGACATGCTAATTAATGCCCTCTATGTCATAGCCAGGAGGAGGCACAGCCCTCTGCATCAATCTGGCATTCAAAGATACACATTTGCATCATACACTCACAAATCATCCGTCTTAATGTAGACAGTCTGCTCAGTCTGATGCATTTTAACAATGGGCTGATCCAGGGTCCTTGGTGAGTTATAGTGTGTCTGAGTCTGTGTTTCTTAACAACAATACACTATGGCAGACAAAATATTACTTAACAATCTATGACATTCAAGGATAATATTTCAAGCTCATTACAGGTGTAGCTCCTTTAATTAACAATCTTCATGCTACATTGTACACATTACATATATACCAATGTGTTGCAAATGTTTTGTCAGAATCTTCTTTTTTTCAATTTATTTTTATTGCATTTATTAAATAGGACCGCTGAAGAGAGAAGGGAAATGTTGGGAGGACAGAGTGGAGGATGAAATGCAGCAAAGGGCCAAGGTCGAATTCAAACCGATGCCCGCTGCCATGAAGACTTTAGCCTCCATACATGGGGCGAGCAACATAACCGCTAGGCTATCTGGCGCCCAAGAATCTTCTTATATGTTCATTTTTTATCTATATCAATAGTGTTTTTTCTCATGGTTACTTCGTATTGAAAAGCAAATGTTGGAGGTTAAAATGCCATCCTCCAAATTTCCAAATTTTGTAATGCTACTCTTTAGTTGACGGTATCAGAAAAGTGATTTTCATGTGGCTTTGCAGGATATGTCTTAGTACCTTAGATGATCTTTCTAGATTATAAAGCTTACCATGCATAAATAGACTGCAGTTCAGTCAGACAACTTTTGTATTTATTTAAAATATTTATTGCAGCAGCAGAACCTTATTTATGTTTGCTGTCAAGGCTCCAACCTCATCACTCCTCGCTGTTTTATTTTACACGCAGAGATTTGAGGAGTGATGGGATAATATCTTAAACCCTCTCATTGGAGCCTACAGGTGGATGCTTGGGTGGTGGTGGTGGTGGTGGAGTGAGAGTGCAGTACTGGCGCAGATCAGAGCTGGCAATGAAAGAGCAGAGGGAGAGACCGGAAATCTTGCAACTGAAATAGACTGCCAATTGGAAGGAGGTGATGTCAGGTGATTGTGGATAATGACGCATGTCAAGTGTGAAATCAGTGCAGCTCCAGTTGACTGTCTGAACTAGCTCGCAGGTGTTGCATCATTTATTTTCATTATCAGTTAATCTGCTGATTACCTTCATAAGTAATCAATTTTCTAAATCTATAAAATGCTATACAATTGTTTAGAACGAAAAGGAGAAAGCCTGCTTCTACTTCTAAGCTAGTCTAAACTAAGTCTACTGACTTAAACAAGGAGTCATGCCTGCTCAAAACCTGAGCTAATTTGACCATTTTCAACAAGGGGTAGTCTCACCTTTTTCTAGTCTTTTCTGAATTTGCTAAGCTAAAGCCATTTTCACGCAAAACAAAACAATTCAGGCTGACTGCCCCTGAAATCTTGTAAAATTGCTTGTGAAAAATTGCTTGCTTACAGCGGGCGACTTTCCCTGTTGGTCGGGAGGTGGATCAGACTCACGACACCATGATAAAAACAGATACATGACGAGATTGCACTGTTTGTATGCCAGTTGCAAGATATATTATATGTAATCATCCCCTCCCGCATGCTCGTGGTACATCTTCATGCAGACAATGTAGACAATAGGAGGATGGCAGGAAAGGCCTGCTTCTACTCTAATCTACTAATTCTATGCTTCGCTAACCCAATTTATACAAAAGAGGAGGGGTCAGGTCTGTTTCGCAATTACTCTATCGTTGGTAAGATAAGCTAACTCTATTCAAGCTATCATTGTGTTCTTAAGCTAGCAGCTACGTGTCAGAGTTACTCTTTTGGCCATGGTTTTGGCTTCTTGTCATTTGGCAGCCATGTTAATGCTGGTTGAACTAAAAAACATGAAAAACAGGATATACAGGGGACATGCAGTACTGCTGACTGATATCATAATCTAAAAAACACAAGCACAACACTGAAAAAAAAAAATCTAAAAACGTACAGCTCATGACACATCAATAAAAATGAGTGAAACATTTCTCAGGATGATAACCAAAAATTAAAACTTCCAGAACTTAATCCAAATCTCAAAAAGCTACACTGAAAATCAATAAGAGGAAGAAAGAAGAGATGTCCTCAGAATAGGAGAGAACATTATTTATAAAGCTACAATAACCTTGGAGACAAATAACAATGGTCTTGAATATTATGACTAAAGAAGGATGAGGACATAATGTATGTAGGTGGTGTCGCTAATTAACACGGAGTGTAAACTACAGAGGGGGAGAGGATGCAGTAGAGAACTTTAACATGATGAGGAGGGAATAAGAGAGGATGAAGAGGAGGAAATAAATCTCCCCTGGGCAGCATTATGCCCAGGCATGAGTTTGTGTTTACCCATGGCTGGTGTAGACATCTGTTCGCACAGCACCCGCCACGCCTGCGAGCCAATGTCACCGAGCCAATAGAACAAAACGCCCACGCTGAATTATTAAACAATGTGCAGCTCACTTCTGCAGGTACGGTTTATTGGAGATGTCTACAGTGAGGAATAAATTATCTACCTGCTTTCTTCTTCTGTATTGTGTCCATAGGAATCTTTGAAATGTCTTAAACTATAGCGCAACATAATCAGTCAGAGATAATTGTTGCCTTAGTGTATAAGACACTACATATATATAAAGGAAGTCATTGTAACATTCGTTTTTTACAAAAAGGTTCATATTAAAGGTGAATGTAATTCTCGTACCATTAAATACATTATGATAACGTTTTAATGCTGATGCGTTTTTGACAGACTTTTTACTTTATCAAAACATTTTGTTAAAGGGATTTACATTACCAGACAGAGATCAATCCACTAATAATTCACACAAAAATAATCACTATTTAGAAAAATGACTTAATATTTCAATCGCTCTCTTAAAAAAGCTCCTCAAAAATATGTAACCTATAGTGCTTTATCTTAAGAGCAATTCTTTAGTCCTAGACTAAATTACTAATATTACTTTTTTCATTATATGAAGATACATTAGAAGATTGTTTGAACAATTACTTTTTAATTGCATAAATCGTTCAACCGTATGTCCAAAACCAAAATGAGTGTCATAAATGATGAAGAGAACTGTCATTTATTCAAGTTTAACAAGCTGGAACAAACAAATCTGTGATGTTTTTGCCTCAAAATGTACACTTAATATTTTATCATCCATCAAAAAATGTGGTGAATTGATTTTCTTCTAATAGTATATTTGATAGATCTACTTACTGCTGCAGCTGTATTTTAGATTGCAAAAATTGAGCAAACTGAATATAAAAAAGGAAGCTCTTAAAGAGATTCTGTTTGTTCTTGGAAGTAGGTTCGTTTTTTAAATCATTTAAGAAAAACAGTGAAGACAAAGGAAAATTTCCCAGAACTCCTTTTGTGCTCTTAAATAAAAATATGTTTTTTTAAAGTCAAAGAAAGGTTCAGTTTGAAGAAACTTCCTCTTAAATACCGAGCACAATACCTAGGATTCCTGAGCTCGACACTGCATTATATTCTTTGCCTTTCCTATTTTTCATCCTTTATAATATCCATGTCTAATACAGCTTATTTTCTGATTCAGTCTTTTATTAAACTGTCTTCCCCTCTTCTTGATTCATTCCCTCTCTTTCCTCTCCCCGGTGTCCCTCCCTGTTGCAGAGCCATCTCAGCCCATTACCGTGATTACGAGGCTTAGAAGGTGG